ACGGTGCGAGCGCGATGAGCAGCAAAACGTGCAGGTGGCCATCTTGACCCCATGAACTCTGAAGCAAGAACGTTCACTCGCGAATATCCAGGTCGCCGGCGGGGGCCGATTGCTCTGGGCTGCCCCGAACACTCTGGATCAAATTATGGGAGGCCGATGGCTTCTTAATCACGCGGCGAGACATCAGGTGGCCATCTGCTCGTCGTCAGGAGCTGCTTCGCCTCTGCTTCGTCTCCGACCGCCAACCGATGGGATCCCCAACGGTGTCGCTGGCCTTCGCGAGCCACAGCTCGCGCGGTAGGATCTCGAGCAGGACGCGCTCGAGCAGGAGGGAGTTCTGCAAGCGTTTCGCCTCGCCAAGTGAGGCATCGGAGCGCGATGAGCAGCAAAGGCGGCATCTCCGCCAAATGAAGGCAAGGCGGCATGTCCGCCAAGGGCTTGCGAGAGTGGAAAGGCGGCATCCCCGCCAAACGAAGGGCTGCGGTGGCAACGAGTGGGATGGCGACGACAACAAAGACATGTTTTTACACCAACAATGACAGAATGCACGAAATCACACACCTCGTCATGAGCGGCCCAACTGCCGCCCCTGCTCACGAGCGGCCCAGCGGCCGCGGCTTATTCGGGCCCTACTCCACCTGCTAAGGCACCTTTTTCAGGCCGTACTTCATGAGGTACTGGGCCACCATGGGGCGATCAGTTGCTGTGCTTCTGCGCCTCCTTGAGCACCCCCGCGGTGGCCTTCGCCGCCGAGCTCGCATCCTTCTGGATGCTGTTGGCCTCGTCCTGCGTGATCGTCAACGCCGCGCCGCTGTGCACGCGCTTCTGCGCCACCGCCTTCATGACTGCCACAGACTTCCTCGCCGCCTTCGCGTTCTTCACAGCCCATGACGGCACCTTGTCCGCCTTCTCATGATCGAGGTACCCGTCCAGCTCTGTCTCGAGCCTCGGTGCGGTGCCGATCCACTTCAGCGCCAGATTCTTCTCCTGCGTCTCCTTCTTGGCCTGCTCGGCCTTCTCATTCGCCTCCTGCCGCCTCCGCCCCTTCTCCGCGTCCTTATCCCTGCGGAGCCTTCGGGGTTGCCCGAAAATGACAACACTTCGAGCCGAGCGAAATCAATAACCCGATCCGAACCTGAAGAGTTGAACGGAAACCGAACACGAATGCGAAGCCCAGGCGACACCCCTGCGATGAAGCCCCAAACGGCCTGCTCTTGCTCCTGTCCTTGCTCTTGCCGCGGCTCTTGCCCCTGCCCTTGCGGCGGCTCTTGCTCCTGTCGCGGCCGCCGCGCGAGCGGCTCCTGCTGCGGTTGGTGTCGCGACGTCTGTCGCGGCGTCTGCTCTTGCTGTCGCGCCTGCCCCTGCTGTCGCGCCTGCTCCTGCTGCGCCCCCTCCTCCTGCGGCTGTCAGACCTGCGCCTGCGGCGCCGCCTGGATCTGGACATGTCGCTCTCGTCGCTCCTGTCGCCCTTGTCGCCGCCGTGCTCTGCGACGCCCGTCGAGGCCGCTGCCCGCGGGCCGCTCTGTTTCGCCTGCGCCCTCTTATCGGTGTACAGCTCGTTGCGCACTGCGGCCTCCACTGTCTCGCTCCAGGCCGCCTCCAATTGCGGCCTGTACGCCCACTCCCCGAGATCAGGGTTCCACCTCTTATCCTGCACATTACGTTCGATCTTTTTCGCGTCGAAGCCGTCGCGCGCCCACTTCCTCAGCGGAAGGTACTTGCCACCCTTGCGGACGCGCTCCTCCTCCATCCGTTGGACAGTGATTGAGCTGACCACGAACCACGAAGGCTTCAATGCGATCGAGGTTCGACAGCCCAGGATATTCTGCCAGATCCTTGTAGAACTGCTGCTTGAACTCACTCTTCATTTTAGCGAAACACTTTGGCGGCCACTGTCCGAACCTCCGAGAAAGGCGCACCCCGTTCGCGTTGCACGCGTCGCACTGGCAAGTCGACTGACCCTTCGCTTTGATCCTGTAGTTGCACTCCTTTGCCGTGCGACAGCAGCGGTTGCAACGCGCGATGCTATCCCCGATGCCATGCACCTCCGCGAACTCCCCTACCTGGCGAGCGCCTGCTGGCGGATCACCCTCCAACTGTTCGTCATGAGCTGCCTCCCCCCCCTCCGCCTGCGGCGCTGCCGTCTCGGGCGAGCGCTCTTCATTCGTATATGCACCATCGGGCGAGCGCCTCTCAACCTTGGCGACCACGCCCTGCGGTGGAGCCTCTTCCTCCTCAAGCTCACGCTTGGCACTCTCAAGCCCCCCCTGTTTGACGCCGAGCTCGGAACCAATCTCGTCGCCGCGCTCCTCGGAGCCCGATGCCGCCTCTGACGCTGCGTCGCCCGGCTCTGGCGGCAGAGCCGCTGCGCCCTGAGGAGGCAGTTCCTCGGCGGGAGCTGCGGCTGACGCAGCTTTGCGAGCCGCCCTCCTCGACGCTGCGCGGTGCTTACCTTTGCCCTTGCCTTTGCTTTTCCCGCGTGCCTTCGGCGGCCCTGCATCGGTCAATGCGAGCGGCGGCACAAGCTCTCCAGTCAGTGTCATCTGCGCCCCCGATGGCTTAGCTTTCCCACGGGGCTTCGCTGCGGGCGCCTTGGTCATCACTCCCTTGTTTTTCGGCCTGGCTGCTGCGAACATCAGTGCCAGAGAATGCTGCTGGTGATGTTCAGCGGGCGGCATCCCCGCCACTGGCGGCGTGACCGCCTTGACGCGCGAGAAGCCGCGCGTCGCGCGCGGCCGCGCGCTGTCGAGATAAATGTTGTCAAGATGAGATGGACGCGAAGCGATGACGAAGAAAACGCGCGGTAAGTGAGGCGGGATAGCCGCCAGCGGACTAGCCGCTTCAAACGTGGAGGGAGGGGTGGAGGGAGGCATGAAGGGGGCGGCATATCCGCCAGCGGGCTCGCCGCTTGAGAGGGCGCAGGGGTGCGGCGAGGGAGGCGGATTGGCCGCCAGCGGACTAGCCGCTCGAAGCGTGGCGGACGCACGAGGTGATACGGATACTGACATGAATTGTGCGTAACATGCCAAACACACAAAACGGACATCATGTTATCATATGCTATCATATGTTTTTCAGGCGTGTGATAACACCATGATAACACATGGTAACACCTGATAACATGTTATCAAGTGCTATCATGTGCGATCAGGTGTTACCAGGCGCGTGGTAACATCTGATAACATATGATAACATCCAACGTTTTTCTGCCACATAAGCATGGCGGCGGCGTAGCGGCACGTCCGCCGAGTTCGTTGAGCGGAGCAGCAGGGGCGGAGCGGCGCCCTGCGCTACCGACCGCGGAAGGCGCCGCGTGCTTCAAGCCGCTGCCTGAGCGGCAGCGAAGAGACGGGCGAGCGCGGAAGCGAGGCGCGCTGCCTGAGCGGCAGCGAAGAGACGGGCGAGCACGCGCGAACGGGGCGCGCTGTCTGAGCGTCATCAGATGCAAGGCAATGGGGGGGGGTGGGCGGACATGGCGATGCAGCACATCCGAAAAATAGCCGCACTCATTCTTATGCGGATGCAACTTTCTCCACCCAACCCTTTTGCCAAATCCCATCCACCCGCCCACCTGTCTTATCCGCCAAAGTTCCCTCACCTTCCGCCCGCTCCGTTCGCCCACTCGCCCCCATATCGCCTTGCATTGGGGGGCGGCTACTCGGCCGCCTGCATTGCCAAAACTGACCTCGGCGCGGCGGCCTTCACGAATTGAGTGCGGATGGAGTGTTTGGGGGTGTCCTAATTTGTCCTGACACAGGGGCGCGGATTGAAATTACGTTGGAGGAGCGGGAGGGGGGCGCGTAGGGCCGACGCGTCGCGCCGCCTGCGCGAACGAGGCTACTGATGCTGAGGCGACATCAGTGCTGCCAGCCGCGCACCTGCGCCGCACGAGGAGGTCGCTACGAGGTCGCGTTGCGCACCAGCCAGCTCGCGAGCACGTCCTCGCACTCGGCGATGCAAATCTCCTCTTGGCGGAAAGCGTTCACCGCGCGCTCCGCTATCTGGGCGCGCATCTGCGTCGCAGCACGCGCGCGGCGCAACGAGTCGAGCACAGCCTGGCACTGGGTGCCGTTGAGCACCGCGATGCTATCGGGCGACATCTGGCTGGCCAGCGCCGTGGACATCCTCATGCCCGCCGTGGCTGCGGACGAAGCGGCGCCTGGAGATCCGCTGTCCTCCGCGAACGCGCCCTTCAGCTGGTTCGAGCGCTCCACGCGGGAGTGTGGAGGGATTGGCGCCAGCTCGACCTTCGGCGCCCCCCTGCGCCTTTTGGAGGCGCCCCAGTTGGCCTTCTCCTCCTCCCAGGCGCGCCACTCCGCGAGGTCGACTTCCCAAGTGTCGGGGTCGACTGCGAGAGCCGCTGCCTCCGCGTCGCTGTCGCTCAAGCCGTGGTACGGCGACGCGCGAAGGTGGTTCACAAGCTTGTCCCTGGCCACCTCCTCTGTCTCTCCCTGGAACCACTTGCCTCCCTTTTTGCAGAGGCTGTCCTGTGGGCACTTGAAGCCGAACATGATGCACTTCTCGCCCTGCTGGCCTGCCATGGCAGCGACGCCGCCGAGCCGCGAGCCGCGGCTAGCACAGAAGCCGCTGGGCCGCGAGCCTGTGCGCGCCTAGATTCGGGCCGATACAGCGTCCCAACAACAAAAGCATACCTGTGTGAGAGGCGCGGTGGCATCGCAAATTTCGGGGTGACAGCAGGCGGCGGCGGCGGCGGTTTAGCCGTCAATGGAGGGCTCAGGGCGGCGTGGCCGCCAAGGGAGGCCTCGCGGCGGTTTAGCCGCCAATGGATGGCTCAGGGAAGGACTGGCGTTTTTTTCCACCCGCATAGAACAAACCCGATGCGCCGATGCTCATCTGCACGGCGGTTGTCCGTCAGGCGGGGAGAGGCGGCGCGTCCGCCAATGAGATAGATCTGCAAGGAAGAGAGGGGAGGAGAGATGAGATGAGACGAAGCGGGGAGAGGCGGCGCGTCAGCTATCCGCGCTCGAATAACGGAAGCTATGCACCTCAGCACGCCTGCAGGTCCACACGATCACCCTACAAGAAGACATCTGGGCGGTTCGCGGCGGGCGTCGGCATCGGCTTCGCTGGCGGTGGTGCCATCTTGCTTGTCGGCTGCAGCCGACTCCTTGCCCTCGGCTGCACCATGCTGGTCTTCCCTGATGGCGGCTGCATGGTCTTCGGCGGCCCCATGCTTGTCTTCGGCGGCGGCGGCCCCATCTTGCCAGTGGCCCTCCACGGCGCCTGCTGAGGCTGCGCCTCGGGCAAGTTCGGCGCCTTGGGCCCCCGCGGAGTCAGCTGAGGCCTGGGGGCGTGCGCCTCGCGCACCCGCGGCGCTGCCTTGCTGCCGCGCAGCTTCGCATACATCTCGCGCTTTGCGCCACCTCGGTCCCCCCAGCGCTTCGCATTGGCGCGCCACGCCTGGCCCTGCCACGTCTGCGGCCCGCCCATGGCGGGGCCGGGCGGGCCGCGGTCGCGGAACTTCGTGCAATCGCACTTCATCTGGTACCCCTTGAGCACGGCGAGCACGTTCTCCGACCGCCAGCCGATGGGATCCCCAACGGGCTCGCTCAGCCATGCTCGCAGCTGCGTCCTGAACGCCTCCACCGCGTTGGGAGGCGCCTCCACCGCCTCGGGGGGCTCCTCCACCACAGGCGTCGCGTGGCGCATGTGCGTCGCGAGCTCCTGCGCGAGAGCTGAGGGCGGGGTGGCGCGGAAAGGCCGCTGCCGCGGGCCCCGCGGCGGCGACGTCGGCCCCCGCCTGCGCGGCGGCGTCTTCGGTGCCCGCGGGCTGCGCGATCGCGCTGGCGGCGCCGCCAGCGTGGGCGCGCTGGCTGGCTGACTGCCGCTGGCGGAGGAAGATCGACCCCCTGCGTTGTTGTCCACGCCCGCAAGGTCGGAGAGCAACTGCATCGCTGGCCCGAACATCTCCTGCGCCGAATCGCCAAAACAGTTCGACCGAGAGCGGCCAGCCAGATTCGCGCGCGATGCGCGCGTCCCTGGCGACCGCACGCGGGGCCACTTGTTTTGGCGACGCAGCTGCCTCCAACGCGTCGAACGCGCCGCCGCTGTCTGCCATGGCCGCGGCCGCAGTGCGAGGCGCCGAGCGCGACGCGGTGGCTGCGGCGCAGCCTCGGCGCGCGGGCCCCAGCCCCCGCGTCGGCGCGAAAGGGGGGGCCGACCCCGCGCGAGCTCGCGGGCACCCGCGGGCCGCGGGCTTGAACCGAAATGGAATCGGACGCGGAAGCGAGACTTCGGGAGGAGGGGGAGGGGGTTGCCCATGGACCCATTGAAGTCTTGGAGCTCCTCGAGCCCTCGGGGGCCTCTCAGAAGGGCCCCGCTGGTTCTTGCGACGGGGTCTCGGGGGAGGGGGCAGAGTGAGGGTGGCATTGGGCACCAGAAATATAAGTGAACCGACGTCCCTTTGAATGTGCAGGTCTTGGTTCACTTGTTTTCGTCGTTAAAAGGGCGGTGGCAACGTCAGTGCCTTCGCGCGCGCCCAGGCCATTCTGGGTGAACGCCTTCGCCGTTCGAGCAGTGGGCGTCTCCCCGACGTTAGTTGGCGTGGGATCCCGTGCCTGACAGCGGAGAGGGGGGCGCAGGGGCGTGGCGCGGGGGCGCGGAGTGGGCCGAGTAGGGGAGGGGGGCGGCGGCATGTCCGCCTGAAGGGCGGAGGAGCGCAAAGGGGTGGGGCGGGGGCGGCATATCCGCCACGAGTTGGAAGGTGAGAAGGCTGAGCTACAAGGCGGCATATCCGCCACGAGGCGGCATATCCGCCACGACCTTTTTGTTCTCCCGAGGCCGCCCCGTTGGCCTGGAGAGTTGAAGAGTCGTAGCGCGAATTACTCGCCGCGCGCCCTGGCGGCGAGCTCCTTCTTGACCAGCTCCTCCGCCTCCGCGATGGCCCTGGCCTCGGAGCGATCGGGCGCAACGAGGCAGCAGGGGGCGGAGGGGGCGTCGAGGCAGGGGCGAAAATGAAGAGAGCGCGGAGGAGGGCGTCGAGAAGGGCGTCGGTGAGAATCTGGCCTTGTCGGCCTCATCGCCCGCGATGTACTTCAGGCTGACGTTGCTGCCAGGGGCGCCGATCCTGCCGCTGCGGAACTGCACCTGGGGGGCGGAGCAACGATGAACAGTCGCCTGAAAGGCGGCGGGCGCGCAAACTGCGACCCCAGCGGAGCTGCTGGGAATCGCCGCGCGCGCCCGACGCCTCATCGGTGGGAGGTTCAACCCCGCTCGCCAAGTTGCGCGTGGTCTGCATCTCCCACCTCGGCTTCGCCCACTTGCGCTTGCTTGTCCTTCTCAGCCGCGCCGTCCGTCTTCTTGCCCGTGGGGGGCGGCGTCTTCTTCTTAGCCACGTTGCCCGTGGCAGGCGGCGTCGTCTTCTTTGCCGCGTTGTCCTTGCCAGGCGGCGTCGTCTTCTTAGCAGCATTGCCCGTGGCAGGCGTGGGGGCCTTCACCGCCTCCGTCGGGGTTCCTCAGAGAGCCTGCGGCGATGCCGAC